TAATACAAATTTTAAAAAAATGCATAGCATTTATGTCCTAAACACGAATGGAATTAAGAAAATGGAAATAATAAACAATCATAACTGTTTTAAGACTAACTGAAATGCATCATTTCAAACAATGTAAAGGAAAAATACTGTTTAACCAAGTGGGTCGTTCATGGTCTCCACATTTATAGAATTTCCTCAAAAGTTCTGGTAAATAAAACCACACTGAAAAGCACAACCGTTGGTTTGTCAAAAACTTCAAAATGACTGATGATCATGTCTTTCCCCGTACAGTGGCTCACTCAGCTGAGGGTCACTATGCCCAGAAGCTTCTGAATGATTTGATGGAAAATTATTCCAGCGCCCTGCGGCCTGTGGAGGACACAGACAGAGCCCTCAACGTCACCTTACAGATCACCCTCTCCCAGATCAAAGACATGGTGGGTACAAGCTCATCAGCAAGATCCCTCTAAATTCTTAAATGTTTATTATATGCACTGTTTATATGGTTTTAGTGATCAAAATAAACCATATTTATTCAAACCAGCCAACAGCACTGTCCACAACTAAAACATTATCTTTACTAAACTAATTAAGTGAAAGATCTGTAGAATTGTCTCGCCAATATTATAGCACCGCTTCAGAGGAATCCATCATGCACACAAAGTTCTTATTGAAGAGGTCATTTTGAATATTGTTTTGATGCCTAATATGTGACTATTTTCAGTATTTACTAAGAGCTCATTCCTCATTACAGAACCATAAACAAATCAATAATCAACATAAAATTTCTTGTCTGATAAATTAGTCTTACTGCACTCGCTTAATCATTGCAAAGACAGAAGTCCCCAAAGAAAGAGTTTGTAGGTGCTGATGTGTATGAATGACAGACCTCCTGCTGTACAGGTCGGGCCTACTGTTACTCTGGCTGGCTTAGGTTCCTGTTCAGGTTCAGTGCTGTGTCAGCCCACAGTGAATTATCGCTTGGGTTGTGCACGTGTGTTTGGGCGTGCATGGTTGAAGGCAGGATACAACTCTTGTACCGACTGTAATGTCTGTCATATGTGAGAAGACAGGAGTCAGAGCCAGACAACAAATAAGTGTGTGCATTGGAGTGTCCTATTACTCAAAGCGTTTGTTTTCTTCGGTTTGGTGCTTCAGCGAAGCTCTGGCAGCGATACCAAAACCACCCCCCACCTACCCACGTCTGCTCATCCACCTGATATTGACAGACAGGTCTGGATTTCAGTTGTGATAATCTGAAGCGTATCTGCTCTCGTAATGCTCATAGAGAGTTAATGAGCAACAGAGAAATGAGGAGACCAAGAGGACTGCTCTTTAAGCTGCTGTTAGTATGTATCCATTGTGTATGTGTGTGTCTGTTCTCACTGGTGACTGATTGTGACCCTGTGTGTGTGTGTGTGTGTGTGTGTGTGTGTGAAGGATGAGAGGAACCAGGTGCTGATTGCCTACCTGTGGATCAGGCAGACGTGGAACGATGCATACCTCAAGTGGGATAAAGAGGACTATGATGGACTGGAGGTGATCCACATACCTAGCAGCCTGGTGTGGAGGCCTGACCTCGTCCTCTATAACAAGTACGCCAGTACGTCACACAAACACACACACACACAAAATACTATAATTTTGGATCTTTCTGTTTCATAGGGTCCTATGTGGCAATTTTAATCAAAACCTCATTGTAGTAGATTAGGAACATTGTGGCACTGCAGCATCATCTTAAAAGATTGGTTCCTGCAAGCGGGAGGATTAGACACACATCCTTGGGAGCTAACCACTTCTACAGCCTTACGAACATTACTCAAGGGTGCTTCAGTAATCCGAATAATTGTGAGATTATAATTATACTTTTACAGTGATAATCTTCTTAAATTATATGACTCTTTACAACTGCAGAGTTACAAAGTTCTTTAGTTAACAAAGTACAATTTAAATGTATTAAAAGAAATGTATTATAGAGGATTCCAATAAAAAGAAAACTTTAAAAAATAACTTTTGTCAGACATGATCACAGACAGAATTCATACATTAGGAGGTGTGGAAGGAATTTAATTTTTGGGGCTGTATTAGAGCGTAAAAGTTTGTTTAGTACACAGGCAACTCAGTGTCAAAAGCATAAAAAACCCACTTTTAACACAATTTAACAATCTCCAGTTCTCATGCTAACTTCTGTAATAGCAGACTATACCATCTAGCCAAATAACCTGTGACAATTTGTGTCAACCTTTTCTCCTCCTCCAGGGCTGACGATGACTTCTCAGGGCCGATGGACACCAATGTGAGGCTGCGCTACAACGGAGAGATAACCTGGGATGCTCCTGCCATCACCAAGAGCTCCTGTGTGGTGGATGTCTCCTACTTCCCCTTTGACAGCCAGGAATGTAACCTGACTTTTGGTTCCTGGACCTACAATGGCAACCAGGTTTGTACATGTGCAATAAGGGTGTAACTGAGACTCTTGCCTTGACATATAGAGCTGTTCTTCTGTGGTCACATACATGTGTGTTTTTTGCTGAATTTGTATTTTCTTGGAAAATGTCAGTGGGTAAAAGTTGCTTGCTTCCTCTACACCTACTCATTAATTACACTTAATTCCAGGTAGACATCATTATGGGCATGGACAGTGGCGACCTGTCAGACTTTGTAGAAAATGTGGAGTGGGAGTGCCATGGGATGCCGGCCACCAAGAATGTCATCATGTACGGCTGTTGCTCTGACCCGTATCCAGACATCACCTATACAGTGCTCCTGCAGCGCCGCTCCTCCTTTTACATCTTCAACCTCCTCCTCCCCTGCTTCCTCATCTCCTTCTTGGCTCCTCTGGGCTTCTACCTGCCCGCAGACTCTGGGGAGAAGGTTTCCCTCGGAGTGACGGTTCTTCTGGCTCTCACTGTGTTCCAGCTAATGGTGGCTGAGAGTATGCCTCCATCTGAGAGTGTGCCGCTCATAGGTAAGAGTGTGTTTGTTTACGATTGTGTTCAAGCCAACATGTATTGGAGTTTTATGTGATTATAGCATCTTTAGGATTATTATACTTACCTAGGGGTGGCAATCTCAGTCAGTCAGCCCACTACTTTGGTCCAGTCTCTCAACAACTCCTGGATGGACACTGGAATTGTCCAAAGATAATGTATCCTAATGAGCTAATGATTCCTTGAATTGACTTCTGCCATGAGATTGACATTTGTGGTTAGAATGAAAGCTCCCCCTCAGGATTAGTTGTTAGAACTTTGGTTATCATTTAACTTACCATATAGCACCATAATCATGTCAAAGTTTTAATTTGTCTGATATTTATGTCCAAATATTTATGTTCCAGCAGCCTCAGCTGTACTTGTTTAAAAATGTTTGTTTAAATTAGCAGTTAGCATATTAACGTGTGCATCTGACATGATGAACATAGTCTCACTCTGATTGCAGTTATTCAGTGAGGACAAATGAAAATAAACAAATGTTGAGGAATTATAACAAAAGTCAGAAGTATCTATATTTGTGAGAGTTCTAACAGCAAACTTCTATCCTGTCCTGTCTGTTTATGTTCCTGTCTGTCACACAGGGAAGTACTATATTGCCACTATGACCATGGTCACAGCATCCACGTCTCTCACCATCTTCATCATGAACATCCACTTCTGTGGTGCAGAGGCCAAACCAGTCCCCCACTGGGCTAAAGTCCTCATCATCGACTACATGTCCAAGATTTTCTTTGTTTATGAGGTGGGCGAGAACTGTGCCTCTGCTTCCTCCTCCTCCTCCTCTTCGTCTTCTCACTTCCCCCAGGATGACACCCAGCACCACATTCACGCAAATGGCAAACCAGGAAGCCACAGTAGCCGACGGGACTGGCAGAGTCACAAATACCCCAGACCTCAGACACCGAAGCCGCAGCACCATCCCAGAGTGAAAGCGCAGCACCACATCACTAGAGAAGACAGGAGCCACCTCTCCAGCTATGGACCCGGGAAATACGAAGGCTCTAATGGGAAAATCCCTACAGGTGATTGTTGTAAAGAAGACCAGAAAGTCCCCTCTTATCCTGAAGACCAAAAGCTTCCCTGCTGCCCTGAAGATAAAAAGCTTCCACCTCAAGGCCCCACAGTTACCTTTGGCCCCTGCGTGTTCTGTAGCCACGGCAGTGGCATCCCTGGTGCGGACACCAAGCTGGTGCGCAATGTTGAATATATCGCCAACTGTTTTCGAGAGCAGAGGGCCACTTGCGCCAAAGGGGCAGAATGGAAGAAGATCGCAAAGGTGATGGATAGATTCTTCATGTGGATCTTCTTCGTCATGGTTTTCCTCATGAGCATCCTCATCATTGGCAAGGCACCGCAGTGATGCTACGGGTTTTTATATATTTGACTTTTTTTTTGTCAAATAGAAACATCCAAGGGGCTATTTTGTGTTTTATAAACATGCTGTACGTTGAAAGATATATGGACTTTGTGGCTTTTACTTTATTAATAATAACAGTATAGATTACAGTGATTTGAAAATAAATAAAACGTACTTTGCATTCATTGTTTTTGCCCATGAACATGCAATGCTCAAACCCATGATTTTTTACACACATGATAATTTAGCATCCTATACATAGCAACATTATATACTTTGGTCATCTAAAACCTCACAACGGGCCAGACTTTAATAATGTATGTTGGCAATGTAGAGAACTTCTCATGAAAGGGCGCGACAAATGATAGTTGTTTAATCATTGTTTTCTGATGGCAGCCACTCTGCCTGCGTTTTGGCTACTTTGCTTCCTAAACAATCCCCACCATCTCTATTGATAGCATGTTGCAAATGTACAGTCTATTACCATCCCTGTCAAGTATATACAGGTACTTCATTATCTGACCCTTGAATACATGTAAGGGGATCTCAAGTTAAAATATGACCAATGGAGACAGCACATGTCTTATTCACTAGTGTGAAATCGGATGCCTGGGGCTGAGAGTTACAGCGTCAGTGCACACTCCGGATCTGCAGAATCATTTTTCTGTTCAAAATAATCCAGTGAATAGTTAATGAGCAAGCTTTGTTTGTAGCACAGCCAGGGCAGTGAGGATGTAAGGTAATATCAGGAGCATCAATTATGTAACACAACACACTCTGACACCCCCCTTTACCCAAAACCCCATACCTTGAACTTGGAAAGTCAAGTGAATGTGTGTGTACACACACATGAACAAGGTGGGAGAAAGAATAAATAACAATAGGGAAAGGAAAAAACCTAAGATTGTTTCATTAATTTAAGTACTGTACTTAAGTAGAGTTTTACTTCAATTCCACTATATGATGGAAATCTTATACTTTTTATAAAACACTTTTATACATTTAGAAATATGATGTATTGCTATAGATTTATTAACCAAACTATATAAGATATATAGTAGACAGATATATAGATAGATAGACACAGACAGACAGACAGAAGACATGACAGACCAGATAGATAGATAGATAGTAATAGATAGATAATAGATAAGATAGATAGATAATAGGATAATAGATAGAGTTAACAAATCCCATGAAAAGACCAAAATAACAACGTGCCTTTCTGTTACAATACTAAATCTGTAAAAACTGGTCATAAATATATCCCTTTGTCTTTATATTAAAAAGAAAAAGTAATTTCCTAAACCAGCTGGGCACTGTAGTTTTTGGCAAATGTATCTTAAACTGTGTGTTTTTTGGAGATTATTTTTAGTGGTGGATTGGGTGTGCTAGTATTTATGGCAGTGGGATTTGTGTATTTGGGATTGACTCAAAATAAACTGAAGTGCTCATGTTCATTGTGATGAAGCAATATGTCACACAGCAGAATAAGTTATATCAGACTTTGGCTACACAGGAAACACTTGTTACTAGGATCAATTCATTGTTGTTTTGGTCCTTTCATGGGATTTGTTGACAATATGAAGAGCAGACTTATTAAGTTGCGATTGAGTATCTTATACATTGTGGTATTGTTTTTATTTAAGCGAGGGATCTGAGTACTTCTTCCACCACTGGCATATACTTATATTTTTCCTCCTTCCCTATTCCTATACCTCTTTGAAAATGACCCCCCACAGTATGTTGGGAATGTAATACATAGAAGAGTCAGAATAGAACAAAAGAAAACAGGATTTTTAAGTAATGATCTCTCCCAGATTTTTTCACCACAATACCTTAATCGTACAGTAGAGGGCACTCATTTCCCACATACCACCCTGGTGGTGGATGCCCTAAGGTGTACTGTTTGAAGCTGCATGTGGCAATGTAAGTGCACAAAATCTGCATCCCAGAATTATTCCCTCTATCATCTATAATGATCCATGCACACATTTTTACCACTGAGAGGAGAAAAATTATTGGTGCACTGTTTATTACTCCTCTGGGTTATTGCATGGTAAAAGACTATACATCTTTCTTGCTGCAATTACATGATTAAATCAGGAGGCTATTAATGAAAGTGAGTTTGTCAGTGTCAAATGCAGCAGGCCAGCATGCCTGTTGATTGTTCTGTTGAGTCTCCCCAGTGTGGGATCTGTTGAGCAGAAATCAAATAGGCAGAGGAGTCAGAGTTTTTTTATCCTCCTCTCCAAAGAGATTGTTATTCTGAAGCACAATCTGTCTGATGTGTGAGAATATCTTGCATTTTCTGTCTGAGGGAAGCCGCCGACTGCATTGCATTCCATTAGTGCTCAGTAAGCCACAGGGGCCACAACAGGCTGTAATCACCATGGGAGGCCAGGAGAAGTGCGAACCATGTAATTTGGACAGACGTAGCAGCTCAGGCACTGATGGAAAAGACTACTGGGCAAATTACAAAGTACTTTGCAGAATTTCACTTGGAGAAGATTTATCTCTCACCACTTAGATTTACACACAGAATGGATAATCACTGTGATGATACAATTATCACACCAATGACTGACCAGTGGTGGAATGAAACCAAGTAGGCTACTTATACTATGTTACTATTCTTAATGACATTTTGAAGAGAAGTAAATGTGCTTTGTGCTGTACCACATTTATCTGACAGCTATAGTTTCTTTGCAGATTAGGGTGTTTACATTCAAAACATATAGTCATCTTGAATTGTCCGATAGTGTAAAAGTTAAAATTGCCACCACCCCAACCAGTTACAACACATTACCATGCTGCTTGACCATGTTAATTCATCATTCATGTATATTTTATATAATACTTACAACTTCCTTTATTTCTACACAATGGTATTGCTACTTTTACTGAGTACTTGTCCACTATTAAGACTAACTTTATATTTAAATTATATTATTATTATTATTCTCTATTTTATTACAAGGAAGAGATTTAACGTGTTATTTGGCACTCTTTATCAGGGCTTTGAAATCAAATTAAAAAATCCAAACAGAATGACATACCTTCTTTGGACTCTTGTGCAAATTTGAAACACTGACTGACTTTATGAAAAGGTGTCTGGACCTATAGTGTATAAAACTTTCACTTTTACATTTGGAATAGTCTTAGGGTCAAATATACAAAACAATGACACACTATACAAATGAATCATTACCAAATTATGTGAGACAACTGAGAACAACATGGAAGAATCAGAAATACTTTATACTTTTATTGTCTCAGGTGGAATAACTGTGGTACAAAGAGGAGAGGAAGTTATAAGAGGGGGCCAAAGAGCCATAATTCCTGTCTACACGCCTCTGTTTAGAAGCTTCCTTCACGGACCACAGCAGCTGCAGGCCATCTGCAACTGATTTGCATTTATGTACACTGCCCATCAGCGCTGTCATTAGCTTTCATTTGACATAACGCTCTGTGAAACTTTAACAAGCGCTCGGTGTTTTCCAGAGGACACCCAGCGTTAAGGAGATTAACTCTCGATCCGTGAAGAACAGGACCTTCAAATTAACATGCGGTCGCCATGGCGACGGAAGCACGCTAATCCAGAGCGCTTCCACAATGTTGACAAGACATTTAGAAGAGTTTGTTTTTGACTGGAGACACAACAACAACCCTGTATACCAACAGCGAAACTTTATTTTTTTTTTAAAATTGAATTAACGAGAAAGAGACTGAAGGGTGTCGCAGCTGGGGGGGTTAGGGTTGCAGTCAACATCTGTGGAAACGCCCATCGCTTAATAACGGAGCCAGATTCATAACACTTAAACTCTTTGCGTCGAGTGAAGGTCAACAGTTCAACTGACTTTAATACACCAAACATGAAGACTGCCGGATATAAGAGCAGGTTTTATGGTTAGAGAATACAGGACACTCTTCTCTTAAGGTGAGTTAACGTGATTTACACCGATATAAGTTAGTTTATCGCTGCTAATAGACATAAACGCCGGCTTAAAATTCATTTCACCTGCGTTAGTTATTCGTCAGCTAACGTTACTACACTTGTTTTGAGTCAGAGTTGTATTTATTTAATGTTAAATAACAATATGTGTCTCCAGTCGGTGGTATTTTTAGTCTAACTAGCTTTACTTTAATAGTTAACTAGTTAACTTAGGTCATAATGTTTGCTTAAGTGTTTAACCTGTAAAAGTTTCTACAAACCTGGTGAGCTCAAAAATGTACTAACTTAAATCAAAAATTTAAAATAACACATGTTACATCATGGTCATAATGTTGACATTTGGCAGTAATGTAGCTGGATATTTATTCACAGTTAAACTAACAAAATGATGCCTATATATTTGACCTAACTGAGTTATATGGGTGAAGTCAGCACAGACTCTTATGTGTGAGTGGTTTGTGTGTTATTTAAGGTTTTACGGTGTGTTTTCAGGTGAAGATGGTGAAAAATAAAAGCACTGGAGGGCGCGCCAGTCGCTCTTCCACATGCAAGACAAAAAAGCCTGGCTCCCAGATCGAGAGCAGCAAGGACCCGACTCCTGTGGACGACCCGGCCGGCAGTGACACCGCCTCTGTTTCTCCAGAGCCCCAGACCCCCGGTCAAAGTCAGCTGGGCTTTCCAGACAGAGTCTACCTGCTGGCGTCTGTCATCTTCCAGAATAACCACCTGGAGAAGTCTGCGGCCCATCGGTTGGTGAATTACGGCAACCAGAGAGGGCTCCTGTTGCCTAAAGTCAAAGACGAGGAGATGCAGCGTACAGCTTTTGAGTTGGCCTTCAATACGCTTAAATGTGAGTGTGGAAGTGAAGTTGGCTACTGTTTTTTCCCCTCTTGTGTTCCTTCCACACACTTCACACACTTACGTTGTGTTGTTCAGGGCGACTTTGGAGTGAGGACACCAGCAAAAGGGTGTTCAGAAACCCCTCTTTTAATTCATTTCAGGTACATTAAATAAAACCTAATTGTTTCCAGGCAAACAAACATTTATAATGAGAATGAATCGCTGTGGGGAAGTTAATTGACAGGTAGAATTGGATGTAGATAGATTGATGAAGGGCAAGTAGAAGAGGAAAGAAATGCTTGAATGACTAGAGGAGGGGGGGGGGTCTGTGTGATGCTACAAATCAATTTGGCCCATAATCTGTTATCTGGGACCGGGACCGGGTCTGGGTGACCGAAGTCACGGGGGTGTGTAATCACCACGGTGATAAGAGAGGGGGGGTGATCCGGCTGTCAGCGCAGGAAGACGACTGGAGTCGATTGAATGCAAGAGGAGGTCAGTGTCGCAGGAGCTTCACGTCCCACAGTTAATGCAGATCACCTCAAAATGTCCATCGTCACGACCCCCACCACCTTTGTTGCAGTGAGCTAAATTAGTTGTACGGCTGTAGGTCAAAGCACTTACGTTATCTGGTGAAATCCACTCGACTGATGAGAATAATCAGAGAGAACTCAGAGATCTTAAAGCCAGGGAGTTGTTTTCATCCGTCACCCTTTTTAAACCCTATGAGAGAATAACTGTATACACTAGAAAGGATGAGGCGTTTATTATTAGTGTGGGCACAAGACGTGTTGGTTTGCTCAAGAGTTTGAACTTGAGCTCTGCTTGTAGGGAAAAACAGCCTCTTGAGCTCAGAACAATTACAATATACTGCGTCTCTTGTTAATGTAATCCCCTTTTTGTTCAGAGCTTATTTCAAAGAGATATTCTCTGTCTTATTGGTGACATGTTGGTGCAGTTCCTCTCTACAGGGGACACTGCAACAGAGATAACTTAAGAACAAAAGCCATCATTGGGTAGCTTTACATTATTATATATTATTTTTGGATCACGCTCTAAAATAAAAGAGAAGAAGGAGTTTTTCTGCATCTGATCTGCACAGCATATTAACAGTACGTCATTGTTATATAAGAACTGATCATTAATGAAACGCTGCTCCTGCTGGAAAGACGTGATTGTCGACTTCCCCTGTTCACCTGTATTTTGGTCACATGTTCGATCCGCTCGTGAAATTGGGTGCAGATGAAATGACACAGCCTCGAAGCCAATGTAAATCTCTCCCCTTCCTCCTCTTACGAACAGCCCGACTTTTGGTGCAGAAATTGATTTGCTAGTGACACACACACACACACA